GATGGCAAGAATAAAAAATAACAGTGCTATTGAGATATACTTCACATACCATACAGTACAGCCATATGAGGTATACAATTCAATGATTTTTAGTGCACTCACAAAGTCATGCAACCATCACCATGACCAATTTTAGAACATTGTACCCACCCCCAAAAAAAGACCTCATATCCATTAGCAGTTCCTCCCTTCGCCCTATTTCCCACCCCCAGACTAAGGCAACCACTAATCTACTTTTTGTCTCCGTAGATTTGCCTATTCTGAACATTTTATATTAATAGAATCATACAATATGTAGTCTTTTGTGGCTGGCTTCTTTCATTTAGCATAATGATTTCAAGTTCATCCATGTTGTAGCATGTATCAGTACCTCATTCCTTCTTATTGCCAAATATTCCATTGTATGGATACACCATATTTTCTTTATCCATTCATCAGTTGATGGATATTCGAATAGTTTCCACTTTTTGGCTACTATGAATGATGCTGCTTTAAGCATACGTGTACATGTTTTGTGTGGATATATGTTTTTGTTTCTCTTGGAGTGAATTACTGGGTCACATGGTAACTCTATGTTTAACTTTTTGAGGAACTTCCAGACTTTTCTAAAGTGGCTGCACCATTTTATATTCCCACCAGCAGTGTATAAGGGTTCCAATTTTCCACATCTTTCCCAATGCTGTCAAAATCTGTCTTTTTGATTATAGCCATTCTAATGGGTACAAAGTGGTGTTTCATTGTGGTTTTGATTTGCATTTCCCTGATAGCGAATTGGCCATTTTTGTATATCTTCTTTAGATGAATGTGTATTCAGATCCTTTGTCCATTTTTACCCTGAGTTGTTTGTCTTTTTATTATCGAGCTGTAAGTGTTCTTTAATTTTAGCCAATGCCTTTTCCACAGCTTTGATATAATCTTATGGTTTTCTTCTTTTGATATATTAATATGAATTCCCAATGAATGCTTTAATATTGAAGCACCCTGGCATACCTGGCATAAACCTTATTTGGTCATGGTGTACTATTCTCTCTATATGTTGCTTCATCAGTGAGATAGTAGGGCTTTTTGCATGCATATTAATAAATTGTGAGACTAGCCATTAATTTTCATTTCTGTGCACCTTTGTTCAATTTTTAAATCAGGATCATTTTGTTAGCTTGGCAAAATGAAGATTTTCTTAGTTTTATGTATCCCGGATCAGCTTAATAATAGGAGTATGTGTTCCTTGAAGGTTTAAAAGAACTTGCCAAAAAACAAAAACAAACTTGTCCAAGAAGCTAAATGGGTGAGGCACCTTATTTTAAAAAATAATTTTAAACAACTTTTTCTGTTTTTTCTAAGACGATTGGGCTGTTCATATTTTCTACCTCTTCTTGAGTTAGTTTTGCTAATTCATGTTTTCCTAGACTGTTGTGCCTTTTGACAAGATTTCCACATTTAATAGCTAGAGCGTCCATGCATTTTCTTATGTTTTTAAAATATCATCTCTTCCATATCTCTGGTTGTATCTTCTCCTCATTCCTTATCTTGATATTTGTGTCTTCTTTTTTGAGTCTTGCCCTAGGTTTGTCTATCTTATTGGTCTTTTCAAAGAACAACTCCTGGTTGTATTTATTATTTATTATTGTGTATATTTATTATTGTGTCTGCTTTTCTGGTCCCTAATTCATTATTTTCTGCTTTTCTTTATCAATTCCTTCCTCCTCCTTTCCTTAGGTTCATTTTATTGCTTTTTTAATCTAGCTTCCTGAGTTGAGTGCTTTGGTGAGGCACTGCATTTCTGCTTTTGGGATCAGGGTTTTAAAGCATATATAACAGTGGCAGAAACCGTTGAGGTTCAGATGTGACCAAAAGAACAGCCCCTGTTGAAGAAAGAACCAAATCCCAGGAGACAGGAGAGCTGGATTCCAGTCCCAGCCTTGCCTCAAATCAGTAGAGTGTTGGGGGCAAGTCCCTTCCCTTCTCAGGAGCCTCTTATCCATCTCAGGCAGACAGGTGGGATGTGGACCTCGTGGGGCTTGGCCCCAGGAGCCCCCTGTACCAGGCAGCCTCCTATCAGGATAATGCCTGCATCTTTCAGGAGGCAGATCTGGCCTCCTGCTGGTGTGGTCCTGGCTTCCACCTCAACACATATATCACAAAAACCGTGTAGTTGAATTTCTTTCTGCATGAGGGAGCCAGTAAGCCATGGTGACACTGTGGCCTGAAGGCAGGGCTCAGCCTGCTGTCCCAGCTGAGAGTCGGGTGGACAGAAGCACAGCCAGGTGCCTGTGCAAGGCAGTGGAGTGGACTGGCTAAACACGTGGTCTTTGCCACTGGATTGCTTGGGTTCAGACCCTGGCCCTTACTGTGCAACCTTGGACAAATTACTTGACCTTTCTCCGTCTCATTATCCTGTAAAGTCGGGAAAGTATCTGTACCTTACCTCATAGGGTTGTTGAGGGTTAAATGAGTTAATGATTTAAAAGACTGAGAACAGAGCCTGGTGTTTACAATTTCTATGTAAGCGCCTGGTGTTTACAATTTCTATGTAAGCGTTTGTGGTTTGTTGTTGTCATCAGGGTGTTTGTGGTTTGAGTCTGGGGCCGGGGCCGAGTGGGTGCTGCACGGGTTGGTAGGGACGCCAACCCATTAGAACAGCCCCAGCCTGCGCTCTCTCTACACGTTTCACAGTCTGGCCCCTGGCACCACGATCTTGCACCGAGTATTCTGACACTTGTGCTCACTCTGCTTCCTGAGACATCTTTTCAGTGGCCCTTGGGTCACCAAATCCTGTAGCAAGTGTGGAGAAGACTGTGTTGGGCCTGGGTGCTCCCCCAACCCCCAACAGGATGCTGCTTAAGATAGAGGTGGCTCCTGGGCTGATGTTAGGAAACATGGGCCAGTTGCTCCCCTCTCCCTGCCGTGGGTCTCAGGTTTTTCGTCTGCAAAATGGCACAGGGGTTGGTCAAGAAGACCTCTGCGAGCCCTTGACCCCAGATGGAGGGGAGTATTATGGCCTCCAGAGAGTTCCTGCTTCTCTAGCAGCGCCACGCCTTTCATTCACTTAAACGTTTGTAGGCTCCTGCCATTTCAGCCTTGGGGTACAAAGACTTGATCCTGGAGCTTAGACTCTGTGCAGAAAGGAGCTGCCGTGGAGGGCTGTGGTTGCTGGGTCAGAAGAGGGAGGGGATGCGGCGGGGCGGGGCGGGGGAAAGCCTCTTGAAATCACCATGTAAGTGTGGTCAGTTCTGTCAACCCCACTTTTCTGTCTGATCTCAGCTCTCATGGGGAGTCACGTGCAGTTCGGGGGTCAATCAGGACTCCGGGAGGTAAACCTTGGGGCACCTGCTGTGCTGCAGCAATGCCGCGTGTGAAGAGACACGAGCCATGCTTGTCACAAGCCAGATGCCCAGTCCAAAGCCAGGGAGGTGCTGAGCAGAGGGCGGGGGCAGGGGGCCTGCTGTCGAGCAGCTGCCTTGTGCTCTGTAAGGGTCTGGAAGACAAGCAGAACCTGTGAAATGAGGCAGCCTCTGGGCGCTGGCTGGACAGTCTTTGAGTGACTGGCACTAGAAGGGCTGTTCTTTCATATGGGGGACCATTATGGGCAGGCTCATAAATGGTCGCTGCCTTGGATTCTCTGGGGGCATTGGTCAGAGATGGTCCCTCCTCTTGGGCCACCTGCTAGCGGTGCTGGAGCTCAAAGTCATCTACTTGTGTCCTGCTGGCAGCACCCCACTGGGCCCTAGGGGAGGTCCCTGGGCCCCAGCCTGGCTCTGCGGTGTCAGGGGCTGGTCCCCCACACCGCTGGACCTCTTCTGGCCTTCAGTGTCCACATCCAGAAGAGGGCAAGGTTCTGCCTTCTCTCCCTCCCTCATCCCAAGGCCACCTGATTTCCCACCCATTTCCCAGGATGGCTGACAGCAGGGGCATCCCTTTCTTTTAGGGGCAACTGCCAATTCCGCCCACCAGGGTAGGGTCTCGTCCTCAGAGCTCAGCAGGTAATCACTGAACAGTCCCATCTCCCAGGGTCTGGATTGTTGGTCTTGTGCGTGAGCACCTTGGTGCATACACGTGACTGGCAATGTTTGAAGAGCTGTAGCCCCGCTCTTT